TTCACTCGAAATGGAAGTAAGCTCAACAATTACCAAACAAGAGATTCCTCGAAATCCAACTTTTATTCGCAAAGTATCTTGCTATTGCGTGCCTTTCACAGCTCTCTCTTGCGTGATAAACGAAAAAATGGCCACTTTGGCGAGACATACCTTTTTACGCTCGCAGAGAAGTTTCACTTTGGCAAAGAGGCACTCGAGAACAGCCACCAACAGCGACCACCCCAGACCGCATATTCCAATCAAAAAGAGGCCAAAAGCCTCCCGCTCGCTGATCGGCAATTGCGATACTGTTATATCGTTCCTTTCGAAGATCGGACATTTGCCGGAGGCTAGAACGCTGAATGGGAAAAAAGAGCATTGCAATGAGATACCTTCTCAAAATTTCAACAACAAAAAATACTAAATATTCGTATGGAGCGGGGTTTAACCTAAATATGGTTGCCAAGGTGAGAAGCTACGTAAGAAGCCTGTAACGCTATACCGCAAAGAGGTGAGAAACATGTGAGACGCCGGTATGAAAGAAGTATAATTGTGGTTCATTTCATCGCTAGCATCCGTCCGGTAATCGAACTGATCTTCGTCTGTATGGGAACACCGATGCTTTCTCGTGGTTACTGAAGAGTAGTGAAGTCACATCCCAACACCCTTCATCACCCACTCCCTTGCCAAGACCTGAATGCCGCCATCTTTTAAAGAAACCAGGCCTCCCATCTACTGAACCTATTGGCCCCTACGGATACACTAACTCAGGGATTCGCAAACTGTGCGCCGCGAAATATTGTACAAGCTTCAATTTGAGTAAATGTGCAGTGATTTGTAGGCTCATCCATCACATTAATAAGTGAATATTAATTTAATGCTAATAAAGTAAAAAAAAATAATGAAGATACACGAGTTTTATGTATTTTTATCTATTACTAACGAAAAGTCATACTTAGGGTAGGGCGCCATGGAAAAATTGTAATTGAAAGAGGGCGCCGCGACTAGGAAAAGTTTGGGAGCCACTGCACTAACTACTAAAAAGAATAGAAGTTGTTTGACCTTGTTTTCGCAACAAGGTCAAACAACTTCTATACAATGAAAGGAGACTGCGACCATAAAAAAGACCACACCATCTTGGTCTTCATACTAAAAAGAATGTTTATAATGATGAATCGAGTCTTCAATGAGAGGCAGAGGAAAAATTGTGGAATATTCCAAGTTAGAACTAAGTCATATGAACGAATGGGCACTTTGAGAGTTACCAATTTCGACTGATAGCCACTTTGCATATGATACATGAAGGATAAAGATGAATGTTGCATTAAAAACTAATTTCGTTCTCATCTACGTTAGACGGAACTGCTACATCAGAGTCGTCTAATCACAT